AGATTTTAAAGCTAATTTTTTTTTAGCTAGTTTGTGCCTTGCCTACTAGCTTGTGGTGTTTGCCAAAGAGAAAAAGAATCTGTCATGCATGCGTTAAAAGATTGCAGTTTAGTCCGAGCAATTTGGAGTAAATGCAATTATTCTATGGTTTTGTCTCACTCTCTTTGTAGTATGGGTGATTGGTGGGAGCACTGTTTTGGTAATTTTGGAGAGGATATGGTGAGTTTAATTACCATGTGTTGGGTTATGGATGATTGAGGGTGAAAATTCGAATGTTGAGCAAATTGTTGCCCATGCTTTGAAGATTAATACGAAGGGGCATGAGTTGCGAAAGTTGAATAACATGGGGAATGGAGGGGTGGAAAGAGTGTCTCTGTGGGCAGGTCTCCTCCGGCATCTGGTGTGGTTAAAATTATAGTTGATGTTGGTGTTTTGGGGGAGGTGGGGGACAGGGCTGGGTGCAGTCTGCAGGAATAGTGAGGGGGTGGTGCTTTGGGGAGCTACGGTGTAGTGGAGTGAAAAATGAGAGACTAAGATTGTAGAGGTGAAAGCAGTATTGTGGGGCATGAAAAATGCGAGACACAAGGTTATGAGCTACATTGGGATCGAGAGTGATAATCTGGTGGTGATTGAGGCAATGAGGAAGCGTTTGTATGGCTCAAGTTCCTTTCATCTGATTATTAAGGATATTCTAGATTTTTTTTTTTTTTTTTTTTTAATTTTACTAGCGATTCATGGTCTTTTGTAAAACGAGGTGGTAATAATATAGCACACAAACTGACTTACTTTCAACCATGGAAGTTTGGCCAATGGATGTGGAGTGATGTAATCCCTCCTCGCATTTTGGAAATTTCTTCGGTTGATTTAGATGTTTTTTTTTTTTTAAAAAAGTATTAAAGTTGTCACTTTCAAAGTTATTAAATAATAATTTTCTGTTTTACACAGATCACTAATCAATTCATACAATTAACTAACTCATACAATTCTACACTTGCTAGTCTGCAACTGCATTTATAATAAAATGTAGGTGACCGTCAGCTGATGTTAAAACCGCACTTCACATGACATAATTAATTTGTCATAATGGCCACAACAAAAGAGTCATCCTAACCACATTTAAAACATGATAACTTGTAATTGACTTATGTTACCATACTTTCCTTTCGTTTGTTGTAAACTCAGTTTAATTAATGTAATTTTAGCCGTTTTCAAAATATTTAAAAAAAAAAAAATTATTATACAAGCTTGGTGTGTGAAGATAGTATTTGAGAAATGAAAGTGTAAAGATAAACTAATAATCCATGCTTTTTAAAACAGTTTTACTCTAAGCTCTTATAAGAGCACCCTTAAGGGTGAACAATTAAATGGTTCACAATGAGTGAACAATAAAATGGTTGGCTTAATGGCAAACTCTAAGTTTGTTCATCTTGAGTGGTTGCAAGTTCGATTGTTGCTGCAATCAGTCAGAGGAACAAATTCGTTGTGGGCCCCACCCAATTTTTCCATTCAACTAAAAGCAAAACGACGTCGTTTCAAGGGAGCGCGCCACTTGGCCCAGCCGCTGCTTGACACGTGTTGTCAGTTTTAAATATATCCGTTGTAATTTTACAACGGATATATTTTACAAAATACAAATCCAAAAAAAAAAAAAAAAATTACCAACGGCTTTCTTTTTTTCCCCTCTATAAATAGACACTGATATTGATATACTTTCTTCAACTTTAAAAATCCATTTTCTTTTCTACTATATTTTTCTCTTCAAAAATCCCCTCACTAATTACCAATATTATTATTATTTTTACCAATATTAATATTATTATTTTTATTTATTATCATTAATATTATTATTATCGTTACTATTATTATTATTATTATCGTTATTATTATTATTATTTTTATTATTATTATTATCGTTATTATTATTATTATTATTATTATCATTATTATTATTATTATTATTATTATTATTATTATTTCTGTTTATTAAGATTGTTAAGATCATCATTATTATTATTATTATTATTATTATTATTATTATTATTATTATTATAATTATTATTATTATTATTATTATTATTATTATTATTATTATCGTTATTATTATTATTATTATTATTATTATTATTATTTCTATTTATTAAGATTATTAAGATTATTATTATTATTATTATTATTATTATTATTATTATTACTATTAATATTAATTTTTTATTTTTTCCAATTATAAATTATAATTATGGATGCTAATACCAACCCCAATACAAATAGAAAGCAGAAAAAAAATTTGGGTCAAAATATTATCCCAAATCAAGCCAATTTCTATCCAAATCCCCCTAATTTTTCACAAACACCCACAAATATTCCCCATAATTTTTCTGGTGTTTATCCTCAAAGACCCCAGTCAAGTTTCCCATATAATCCACCAAATTTCCCTCAAAATTTTAATTTTTCTCAAAGCAGTTCAAATTTCCCACATCCATCCATGACACCAATGGGTTACGGTGAATATGGTGCTGCATCTGGTTATTTTCCGTCACAACAACCGAATCCCAATATTTGGGAATCGAGCAATGTCTTATCTGAAGAAGATGAGGCAAATGAAGAATGCGAGGATGATGGTGAGGGAAATGAAACTCCTTCCCCCCATCAAAACTTCACTCAAATGTTACGGCAACCACTCCAATCAACTCCGGAATTTCGTGTTGGTTGTTCAAACAATAGAGGTTGGTCGCGATCAGAAACTGCGGCTCTTATATCCGCCTACTTGAACACCAGACCGACATAATTATCGGCACAAATCAAAAGAAGGGTGTATTTTGGAACAGAGTCTTGGACGCATATGATGCTGCCAGGGAATCGAATCCAGTTGAAATATCCCTACGAACTATTAGTAGTTTGAAGGGAAGGTGGATGCGAATCTCTGAAGCCGTGTTAAAGTGGTGCGGAAGCTATGATAAAGGCCGGAAGCGAAAGGGAAGTGGCTATAACGAAGATGATGTTATCCAAGAGGCCCACAAAATCCATGAGAACTCGTTCGGACGATTCACCTTCTACGAGGAATGAATCCAAATTAGGAAGTGGGACAAATTCCGGTCTTTCTTGGACCAACAAACATTCAAGCCTTCGGTGGGACGTCCACATTCAACTCCACTGACGGATGAGTCTGTAGGGAGCGGAAGTAGTGGGAAGAGGACACGGGATGAGGGTGACAATTCCTCACCTACCACACCGACCAGCGTGGGTATCGGTGATGAGAGAGTAGCTCGTGATGAAGAAATTAAAAAGGCTAAGTCGAGGTTGAAGGGTAGTGGATTGCTAAACATCGCCCGCAAATCTCCACATAAAGCCCGCAAACTTATATTGAAGTTACAATATTGCCCTTGACCTTAAAAAAAAAAAACACACAACCTCAATAAAAATCAAAGTACGGGGATGTCGAGGCTCGTGGCGGCAAGGTGGTGGTGGCTCGTGGCGGCAAGGTGGTGGTGGCGCCAGGTCCGGCAGCCACGTCCACCGGCCTGGCGTCTGGGCAGGACGCCCAGCCACGGTGAGTGGCGTTTGGGACAGGCGCCAGTCACTGTGGCTGGGCGTCCTACCCAGACGCCAGGCCGGTGGACGTGGCTGCCGAACCTGGCGCCACCACCAGCCACCGGCCGTCCTGGCCAGGCGCCCCACCACCTTGCCGTGGTTGTTTTGTTTTTTTTTTTTTTTAATTTTTTTTTGTTTTGTTGTATAATATTTTTTTTTTGTTGGAAATTGATATTTTTTTTTTCTATTTTTGTGTAATATCATGTTTTTTTTTGTTGGTAACTGAGAAATTTTTTTATTTTGAATTTTAAGCAAAAAAAAAAAAAAAAAAAAGTGGCCGGACCACCACCCTGGAACCGGCGCCTGGCCGGGACGCTGCCACCATGGTGGTGGCGCCTAGCCGGGACGCCAGTACCATGGTCATGGCGCCTGTCCTGGAAGCCTCAACCATGGTACAGGCGTCCTGGCTAGGCGCCACCGCCATGGTGGCGGCGTCCCGGCTAGGCGCCGGTGCCACGGTGGTGGCGGCTCCTCCGGACGCCAGCCGTCTTTTCCGATGACATTCGTCGTCCCCCGGATCTCCGGCCTCCCCCGGCGTCCCCGTACGACTCCACATTTTTCGGTGAGTGAAATTTTCGTTTTCAGAGAAAATTGACAAAGGGGCAAAACTGTCAAATCATATTAATTTTGTGGGCTTTATGTAGTAATTTGTGGGCGATGTTTAACAAATCCCGAAGGGTAAAGCTCCATCAAGTGAAGCATTTAAGGAATTAGAAACATTCAACACCCGATTGCAGCTATTTGGGGATTCGATGAATGTGTCAAACGAAGCAAAAATGAAGAGGCTTGAAATACAGGAGCGCAAGGAGGCAAGGAAACAACGGAAAATTGAGCTAGAACAACATAGGATCCACTGGGAGCAACTAGCTCGTCTAGAACAGAAAGTAAACCGAAAACAGTGGGAAGACGAAATGATAGTAATACTTCAGAACAAAATTAAAAGTTTCACTAATGATGCTTAGGCATTGTAATCTTCATTTTCAGTAGTGATAAGTTTTCAATTCCAGTTCAACCTCTTGTACTCATTTCCAATTATTTGTACTTTATTAGTTAATCCGTAAAATGGATCTTTTCCACTATCCCATTTTCATAGCCCATGTGATCTTTGTCTCTTTATTCAATTATATCAATTTGTCTTTTTATATATAACTGTGTCAGTATCTTAATTTCCCCTTTGTTAAGCCCATGTGAAACGCTTCTTCTCCATTCAATTTATGTGTGGTTCTAATCCAGTGTTTGTCATAGCCCATGTGATCTTTGTCTCATAATATTCAGTTATTTCTAAAGAAGAATTACAAATTAGTTCACTATAAATAAACACCATTCTTTCATTTATTTTACACACAAACACATAAATCGTTTGCAGTTATTATTAGAAAAACTCACTCTATCTTAAATTTCTTACGTAGAAAATGAATTCAAACAGTTTCAACTTAAGCTCAACCGATTCCTCTTCATCTTCATCTAACTCGGATGATGAGGGAAGGGAGCTTAGAGTTCAACAATGTAATGAAGTGTGTCTTATGATACAACACGTAATGCATGAGTACATTCCACCAATTATTCAAGCTGCCACTCAGCAACGCCGACGCAAATCTACTGAGCCCCGAAAGGATAGGGGACGCGAAGAAGGTCATGCACGGTTATACAATGACTATTTCGCGGAAGTCCCAGTTAATCCAAGTTCCTTGTTCCGGCGCCGGTTTCGAATGCGTAAACATGTGTTTGAGCGCCTTCTTAACGCAGTGACCCAACATGACCCTTGGTTTCAACAAAGGCGAGATGCGGCAGGTCGTCTTGGGTTGTCTCCACTTCAAAAGTGCACTGCGGCCGTTAGACAACTAGCTTACCGGTGTGCTTCAGACGATTGTGATGAGTATGTCCGTATAAGTGAGGCTACTTCACGATTGGCACTCCAAAAGTTTACAGAAGGTGTCATCAACCAGTTCGGTGATCAGTACCTACGCCGTCCAAACATTGCAGATATGGAAAGATTGCTACGTATTGGGGAAGAACGTGGATTTCCTGGCATGATAGGCAGCATTGATTGTATGCACTGGGAGTGGAAGAACTGTCCACACGCATGGAAGGGGCAGTATCAAGGAAGAGCAGGAGTTGCAACTCTCGTACTGGAGGCAGTTGCGGACAGAGATCTATGGATATGGCATTCGTTCTTTGGGATGCCAGGTAGCTGCAACGATATTAATGTGCTTCATCGATCCCCTGTGTTCGAAGACGTCTTAGAGGGTCGAACACCTGCTGTGAACTTCGTAGTCAATGGTCATCATTATACGAATGGGTATTATCTTACTGATGGAATCTATCCTAGATGAGCTACATTTGTGAAATCTATTACGAGTCCACAAGCTCGTAAGGATCGTTTATTCGCAAAACACCAGGAAGCTGCAAGGAAAGACGTTGAACGCGCATTTGGGGTCCTTCAAGCTCGTTTTTCCATTATTAAAAAGCCGTCTTTGGCGTGGGATACCGATATACTCCACAATATCATGCTCGCCTGCATCATAATACATAATATGATCGTTGAAGATGAACGAGAGACGTATCAAAATAACGTTAATACCAATGAGTTTATGAATGCTGGAGGCAACGCTAATGAGGACACTACCGAGTACCGTACTGATCGTATTGTGGATATCGGCTTATACTTGACTCGTAGAACAGAGATTGAGGATCAACAGACTCATTTGCAGCTAAAAAACGACTTGGTCGCACATATATGGAATAAATTTGGTAACAACGAGAACTTACGCAATTAGGTTTATAACAAATGGTTATCCCTAAGGACATCTTACAAAACGATGTGTAGTAGTTCCTTTTTTGTTTTTAAAAATGTACTTGATTATAGTTGTAGTACTGTAATCACGATTTGTACCTCTTTTTTTTTTTTTTTTAATTATGTTAATTAAAATTAGCTGCGTTGTTGTTTAAAAATATTGATCACAAGAATTAGTTTTTAAAAAATCTGATAAAAAAACGCGATAATTTCTTAATTAGTAATCACGATTAAAAAATTAAATGTGTCAATTAATTACATTGACATAGAGTTAATAAATTATAATTATGAATTAAATAGATTATATTTACAAAAATAAAATAAGGTGGGGTAGGGAGTATTGATGATGAACCATTGTTTAGTGTTCATTGTTAAGAGTGAATATTGTAAATGGTTTATTGGGTTGATGTGGATGAGAGAGAAATGATGATAGTGACCCATGAACCATTTTTTTTTGTTCACCAATAATGATGCCCTAAGGTCTGCCCTGTCCCATAATTAGACGATCGTATAAAGACTCAACTCATTTATTTATTAGACGGATCTAAGACATTAATAACTGTGGCGGGTCATGGGTCATGGCTTTTAATAGGGATCCAACGCATCCAAACCATTGAACTGCTCTACTAAAGCGCATTCGCCGTTCTCCATTGAAGCGCAGTTGCCGTTCTCCGTTGAATCTAGTTCTTGTATCCCCCATTGAAGCAGCTTCTGAGGTAAGTTGTTTTATTTGTTATCATCATATCAAATATCCCTAAAATTATGAGATAATTGAATCAAAATTTGGTTGCTAATGTATTGCACAACACTAATGTTAGGATTCAACTATGAAATCAGAGCTCTTTTCCTCAGGGACGGGCCTGTAGGTACCCATTTTTAGCAGCCCCGAGTGTATCTGTTGAGGGCCAAATTGTTGAGTTGACATGTATACTTAAGGAAACCATGTTCTTTAACTCGATTCAGAGGTTTTACAAATATGGTCGGTCTAAATGCTTAACTTGGTGTTTCCATCAACTTTGTTCTTCAAGACTTGTGTCACCTCATGAAGTAATTAATGCCAGAATTGGTTGTTCTAATTTCAGCCCAGCCTTTACCATCTATTCACATTATTCTCAAATAAATCGTACCAGCTTATTGTGGTATTCTTCAAAGCCACATAGACCTTTTTCAGGAGCTTATAGACAACGGGTTAATAGAAGGCTTAGACCAGCTAGAAAGCCTGTGCTTAACGAGGTTAAGTTCAATAAGGCTGTATCCCAACTGCCTGCAAGGTTTAATGCTGATGATTTGCACGGTGCCATTGCCTTGGAAGATGATCCTTTGGTGTGTTTAGAACTTTTTAATTGGGCGTCAAAACAACATAGGTTTAAGCATAGCGTGAATACCTACCACATTACCGTCCAGAAGCTTGGGGTTGGCGGGATGATTGAGGAAATGTATGATGTTGTCGATCAGTTCCTTGCCCTTCCTCATTTTGGCTCAGAGGCTTTGTACAATACTATTATTTACTATTACACTCAAGCCAGGAAGCTGAGCAGAGCTATTACTGTGTTCAAACATATGAAGAAGGCCAAAGATTCAGATTGCAGGCCATCTATGAGGACTTACAACCTTTTGTTTGCTGCATTTCTTAGCCGTAGAAGAGATACATACATCAATCACTGGTATATGGGTACTATGGAGTGTCTTTTCAAGCAAATGATCAATGATAAAATTGAGCCTGACATTTTCGCCCTCAATTCAATGATACAAGGATATGTGCTTTCTAATCATGTCAATGAGGCCTTAAGGATATTTCATCAGATGGGTGTTGTTTATACTTGTGTCCCCAATGCACTCACTTATGATTACCTTATCTATGGACTATGTGCTCAAACCAGGACAAAAAATGCCAGGGAGTTATTTTTTCAGATGAAGGAAAAAGGGTTTGTTGCTAGCGCTAAAACATACAACTCTCTTGTGAGTTCTTTGGCACTTGGTGGTGAGATTGAGGAAGCTCTGAGTTATTTGTGGGAGATGACTGAAAAGCACAAGGTTGATCTAATTACTTATAAGACTCTTCTGGATGAGTATTGCCGAAAAGGAAGAGCTGAAGAGGCATTTAGGTTATTGAAAGAGTTTCAGGAGAAACACATTGTTGATGGACCTACCTACAAAAAGCTACTATGTGTTCTTAAAGAGGACTTTGCACATAGCAGGAATGGATTCCAATAGTGTGAAGAATAGTTTTTAACATCAATTAGACAAGTCGTCTAGAGGTCTGCTGGGCTTATTGTTGGGGTTCATACTGTGCTAGAACTTGTATATTCCTGGGGTTTGAATTGAAGCTTCAGTAGGAGTAGGTGTTGCACTAGCAAACCACTCTTTTAAGCTTCTTTATTGTGCGCAGTTGGTTGTTTTACCTTTACTTTCTACAGTGAACTCCTAACTACTATGCCCTTTATTTGGTCAGTTTCTTGAACGTTAGTACTCTGAAAATGGTTATCTGCTGCTTCTGCAGAGATTCCATGTCCTCTATCATATCACTGAGATATGACTTACAGCGTGTAATTTGACAGATTATATGCTGTTTCAGCTTGGTCTGACAAACAGGGAGTTGGCTTAGCCCTTCATGTGGTTTTCAATATATTTGCATATGAGCTGCTTGCTATCTGGCAACAGCCATGACAAGAACATATTCCGAGAATCGGCCAATTTGCTTACTTTGCTGATATATAGTTAAGTAGACCTTCCACTAGCCTTTTTGAAGAGCATCGGAAAGTTTTTCTAAGAAGCATCTAAAGACTTAAAGAGGGATCAGCTATTCAGCATGTGTAAAGAGAGCCCAAAGTGACATCAATGTAATACTTTGTATTTTTGAAATATACTGTTAAAAAATGCGATTCATTGTATTTTTAAAGGTAGCTATTAGCTAATAATGTTTTGGTTTGGGATGATTTGAATTCTTAACGATTACTTGTGAGGTTTTGGATTAAAAGGTTGTGCACTCTCTGAACTTTATTAAACAAAAAATTAATTGCTCGATCATTTTAAGTGTGCTTTTTTCATCTAAAAATTTACACATTATCTTTTGTTCTCTTTTAAGTTTAGTTGATGCTAGAAAATAGTTAATTTAATTACGAAGTACTCATACTATTTGTATACAATCTTTTGTTCCCCATAGATTTTTAGTCAAATAACGTCCAAGATTGCTCGTATAAAATCGATGGTCATAATTATAATACTTATACAAGGCTACATAGCCAAATGCACGATCTAAGTATGACCAATTGCCTCGTCAAGTAGCACGGGTACATTCTAGTAAATTTAAATTAAGAGCTCCTCCCTCTCACTGTTCTTATCAAGTGAACTGCCTGAGCACATCTCTTCTCTGCAAAGGTATATCTTTTTCTCTCCTCAATTTCCAATAATCTGCAAATTTAAATAATCTGCTTTAATAATAATACTATGTTATTACCTGTAACCACTGGTCATTCAATCAATTGCTTGATCAAAGTAGTATTCTTTTTTTGACAAGATCAAAGTAGTGTTCTTAAATCATGATTAGTGGATAATAAGCAATACAAAACAACGTTTTATGTACACATGCAACGCTCGATTAGTGGGATAAGTAAAGCTACTTGAATGAGGGTAACATCATAGATTATGATTGTAGTGTGAAAAAGATAGTGAAAAGATTGTGATTATGAAATGGGGTTTTCTGGGTGCAGTTTGATTTGGTTGGTTAAAATGTAATTAATGAGCATTGTAGATTTGTAGGGGACGCCTAGAAGGTGTTTGTTAAAATGCCTGAATGACTTTCTATGGGATAAAGTATAATGAACTTGGTTAAAGTTTTGGTCTGCCTTTCGCTTTTATCGCGTGGGGATGGTAAGTCTTTTGGGTATAAGCACATGGGTTCCTTTTATAGAGCTATGAGTAACCTAGTCTTAACTCTCAATTATGAGAAGATTAATTAAGAACTTCGTTTGAAGTTTTTGTAGAAGTAGATTTTGTAGAGCTGGCATATGATTAAGAGGCATAAGTGGTTAGCTTGGAACATTACAATATCAGATGGAATCGAGGAGAGGGTCTTGGTAACCTTCTTCTAACAAATATCTAGGTTGAAGAAGTGTAATATACGCATCATCTTTAGTTCCAGTTAAGCCTATTTACAGACCATTGAAAAAATTATGGAAGGGGGTTACCAAGACCAAGACACGACTCTAGGCATAGAAGCCTTTGTAGGTATGTAGTAATGTAAGGGGGTTACTAAGACCAAATGACCATCTAGTATCAATGGTTTTTATCTGTGTTTGATGAAGAATGTGCATGTAACTTATGTCCTAAAGGTGTAACTTTTCCCTGAGGCAACTATTTAACAACATACTTTGAAATTAAGTTAGTTTGTAAAAGAACTGAAAAGAATTTGAATATAATGCTAGAATTAGGTGGTTTATGCTCGGAAAAAATATAATTTTTTTTTTTTTTTTTTTTTTAACATATATCTAGCTTACTTGTTGGCCCATGGATGATTCTTCTTTTGTCCTTAGTCTCCTTACCTGTATACCTTTGCTTCTTTCTGTTTGGCAGGTAATGGAACTAGGTGCAACAAACATTGATCACAATCAGCAAGACGAGTATGTATTGCTGAACCTTGACGCTGTTTGTGGCCAACTCGACATTCCTCCAAATGAGCCATACATTCTATCTGTATGTTATTTCTCGTGGACAGTTATTACCTGTCTCAAATTTATTGTCTTGCTTCCGGATGACATTGATTTTAAGAGATATCCTCTCAGGAAAATAGTAAAAGAAAATTGGGTAAAAAAGAAAATTGGGTAAAATGCTAGTACAATGGGATAGTAAATACTTTTTCCAATTCATATTTGAAAGTGAGCTAATTTGGTGATTTCTGTGCTCTTCGGTTCATTTTTAAGGCAATAAACATGCTTATTTTGTGGTTCATTTCATATTAGCTACATCGTCTACATGTAGATTTTTTCAATAAGAATTGTCCATGTTTTGCTCTTTTCTTTACCCTTATCATCATGATTAGTGTAGCTCATTGCCATGTCAGTTTCTAAGAGGCCTTGCCAACTAGGTTGCACAAGAACGGGTACTGACACGGATACAGATATGAAACGGATACGGAAAAATGTCTATATCAAAATAAGGGACACGGGTACGGGATGTTGAAATTCATATAATATATATTTTTTTTAAAAATTGACCATATATTTGTCATTCCGTCCTCTCATTAGATCATATTGTATCATATTAACAATGAACTATATATGAAGGCACCCATATTATTTAACAATTACCTTATTTATCTTACTTTACTTAAATTTTCTCATTACAAAAAAGTTAAACAGTCCATGTCATGATAGGATACGATCCGAGACGTATCGTCATGTGTCCCACGAGTGTCGGTGTCTGACACGGTGTCCGACACGGACACGGCAGTTGGATGAAGTGTCCATGTATCCTAGCTTGCCAATACTCATCTACCATGCACATTAGATACTATAAACAATGAATCAAATTTAAGTCCTCAATTTGGTTAATTTTCTCATTTATGTTCGATAGCACTCTCTTATATTATTCGCCTCTTGAATTAAAATAATCATCACTGTAAAAAAAAGCGTAAGTTTCTCCTATCAGAAATTATTTAGAGGTTATGAAACTGTTTCACAAAATATCTTTCCTTTATTTTATACAGTAAAAATCAGAATTATGGATATCATAATTCTATCCGCAATCCATAATCCATATAAACATGATGTTTATCCTGCGGTAACATGGTATTTGACATGGTAATTGGACCTTTTGCTATTGCATTTGGGACAAGTTGGTTAGTAGTAATCACTTCTGGGACAACTATGTAATAGGTATTGATTAGTAACTCCATTTCTTCTTTGCCTTGAACCTGACAAGTATAAAATAATATTGCAGGGTTTTGATACAGCCAACCCCATCTTGACCATTGGGGACAAACTGAAGCTGGTGAGCTCATGGCCTTTTTGTTAGTTGTAACATTATGTCTTCTTTTTTGTCTTGTTTTATCTGAAATTATCAAAGAATTTTCAACTTTTAAAAAGAGAAGATTCATGACAGAAAGATTTCTCTGATTAGCCCAAGTTGGATAAAAGCCCTGATTCTGATTGTCAACAATTTCAACAGGGTTTCTAGAAGTTTTGACTTATTTTTGGTCTTCCAAGATTGTATCGTACCTCCAATTTTTTTGTAGATAATTCTACTTCTATGTTTTAGGAATTTATTGTTCTGTCAAGTGTAAGGAATTCGAAGAACTAGTCATAACTTTTGGAAACATGAAGGAGGGGGTGAGGGGTAAGTTATTGTACTAATTCTGCCAAGTGGATAAACGTTTGTAAATGTTTCTTTGACTGATAACATTCGGTCATGGGGTGATAGGGAAGGGGGTGGGGGGTTAAGGTGCTTATTGAAACCAAAAACTAAAAACCAAGTTGAAACAATTTATTTTTGAATATATGTGGAGCACTGGAGTAGTGATCTGGAATGCAAACTCATTTAGGATGTGTCTAGCTCAACAAAAGATGTAGGTTTTTTGAGGAGGCGGGATCTGGGAATTAATGTGTTTTAAAGAGGATTCAAAAAGTTTTTTTAATGCTCCTGAAGCTCCTACTAAATTGGAGCATAATTGTCTCTGTGATAAGATATTGGGGCATTAGCTATTGGAAGTGACAAAGTGATGGTGTAAGACTGGATGCTTTCTATGTCTGAGCTCGACCTACAGCAAGACTTGTATTGGCATTAAAATCTTGCTGTTTTAATGAGGAGTTTGTTCTTATACTATCATCTTGTATGCACATAGGAGAATATGAAGAAACTATTGGAACATGCTTAATCTTTTCAGAGAAGGGTGTGTGGTTTTCACTTTTCTATTAAATCATAAAGATAGGAATCAAACTTATAACTCAGAAGTGTCACAACCAAATACCAGAGGGGCTATATTCCAATCAATCTGTTGAAGATATCACATATACTGATTTTTATCTTTACTCCATTAAAGGAGATAAGGAATGTAGATTTGTTTGTGCACCTATAAGTTTAGCTAACACATGCTTAGAAAAATTGTGTTTGTTAGGCTTGCTGATAATTTTTCAAGATACAAGTGGCAACTAGGTTGTTTGGATTAGGATAATTCTGCTTGGGACCCTTGGGTAATGAGTCATTCAACTTGGTTCCGGGTCTATGGTCTATTGTCAATCACCATAATAAGATAGATTGATAAATGTTAAAACCTGTAAATTATCATGCCATTCGGGTCAAAATCATGTAACCTGATAGACTGATACTGGTAGTGTAGGCCGATTTATGTATGGAGTGAATAGCATGAGTGCTTCTGGATAAGTATATAACTCAAGCAATCGTTGTCATGAAACTATGAAAGTAGTAGATCCATTTTTTTGTAGGCAGTGTCTCCATATTCAATCAATTAACATGATTTAATTTCCAATTATCACAATTCACCTGTAAATTTCTTCTGTTGTTGGCAGAAAGGGCGTCTTTAGTTCATGAAGAAACAGGATCCTCAGAAGGTAACCTTTTCAAGGGAACGTGTATAATTGACCCAAATCAAGGTCCATCAAAGCAAATCAAGCCTGTAACATTGCTCCATAAAATTCTGACGTTCAGATTACTGTTAGAAGCTGATGGGCAAAATTTAGTAGACAATTCAGATAATCTTCTAGGGCAGGAAGGGAATCAGAATTGTGAGAGCTAGGAAAGAATTTTTTGGTTCGTCATTTGGCAGGAGATTAACCATTCAGTTAATTGTTCTGAAAAAGATCCCCTGGCTTGTAATTCCCCTCCCCCCCCCCCCCCCCCCCCCCCCCTCTCAGTCGATAAGATAGGTAACAAGCAAACTGGCACCTTAGGCATTCACTGATGGCATTTAACAGGTGCAAAATTTTATTTGGTATATATGCATCAACTGAATTATGCATGTGGCTACTTTGACTGCATATTGATCTGTGACATACTACATAATTTGCCCTTTGCTAGCAAAATTTTATGACCATAAGCCTCTTTTCATTTTTGCAAAAGCATTGGTAATGGTGATTCACGCATCGCTCTGGTGTTACATATGCTAAAGCTTCAGTTAACAGAGCCATTTCAGAACTCTAAACCAGTTATTCACAAGCAAGATTAAAAAAAAAATAACAATAAATTCAGGCATAGAATTTTACAATTAATCTCAAACTTATAAAAAGCTTCAAATTCAGAGAGAAAGAAAACACAGTATAGTTACGCCTCAATAGAAAATTATCCTGAGTGAAATTCGTTCAAATCGAAGATTTTACAACACCTTATAAGACAATCAGGTCCTATATTCCAAATACAACCCCAAGACTTCACGCCCTAGCCTTTAAAGTAAAATAACAGTCATAATAATAACAAAATTATAACACAGAAAAAAAGCCAAGCAAGAAATCAATGATGAAAGATCTGTTCATCCACCACTCTGTCAAATGAAGCCATGCCAGAACAAATGGACAAGATCTTTTCATTCCAGTGGCAGGCGGCAACCAGAAAAAAGCCATCAATAGAAGGATCTCTCAAATTTTGTCTTTCAGGTACTTCAAAATACCTTTAGTTCCCCGATCTAAAATCGCCCTCCTAATGCTGCAGGGAAGCACCAGCAAGTTAGAAGATAATCGTGTCATTGTTAATTAAACAAATTCTCCAGGGTCTACATTGCAAGAGCTCTCACTGACAACGGGTAAAGACGTGGAAATGACAAAAACAGCCAACACAGTATTTCGATTTGGAACAAAAGCTGAAGTGCTAAGAGAATTCTCTAAAGAAGCAAAATCAATGATACACTAATCAATGGGAGGGGAGAAGTCCTGTGAATTCTAAATGCATCTGCAAACCAGACACGATGATGAAGTTGCAATGTAAAGAAAAGGAGTTATGCAAGAAACTCAGATTATCTGTTGGAGTAATTGTTGCAAACCTGATCTAGTACCACCAAATCAATGTTAAGATTGTTAACCAATACAAAAATTAAATTGTACTATTTAGATTTTTTACGATCCCCCAAACTCCCCTGTTTTAGAAATTTGTTGTGCAAGGAATATCCAGCTACACTACTTGCTTGACACAACAAGGCTTAATATGTCTCCACTACGATGGCCAGATCCACAAATTCTTATCACGCTCAGATATGAGAATTGGATAATTTAAAGCATACCAGGGAAGCGGAATGGATAAAACAAGGAGTATTTCAAATTCTTTGCATGTATCAAGAAGACACTGTAGGTAAACTACATTGACGCTAAGTGTGAATAGTGAAGACCTGCAGATATTGCTGAAGATTTTCTAGATTTTAAACAGGCAGCCTATGCAGATAGATAACTGCTTAAACTGGACACAATCAACCACAAAGTTCTATGGGTTGGATTCAGATATTTCAGTATCCCAAAGCACTCCTTTATATGGTTGAATAGCACAAATTTATGGACAAAAAAATAGTTTATGCAGTCGAACTCGGTCAACCATGACACTTACTGTGTGTCTGTGTCATAGGATGACAACAGAGGATGACAGCAGTTGATCTGCGAAGAACTCTTATTGAAACCAACAATAATGTTAATTCTTCAGAAAAAATTTCAACATGGTAGCAATCCAGGGTAACTTGTAGTTTTCAAGACCCTTAAGACCCAATGATTTTGCTATTTTAGTTTTGTCAGTCCAGGCACTGTAATACTGAAAGGCTTCCCTGGTGAAAGCCCAAAAGTATTTAGGTGGTGATTAAGTGGATTGGACTGAATGACATGAAACCCCTTCTTAAATCTCAACTTGCCCCTCATGTTTTCTCACATGACATTTTCAGAAGTGTTAATTGGTAAGGACATTTTGCCATCTGTTATGGTTTGTTCTTAATTTTTTTCGTGTGGTTCAACAACCAAAAAACATGCTTGGTAATACGAAGTATATACTCAAAATTAAATATAGTATTAATAACAATAATATATCATTATCAAAGTGTTGTCATCGTTATTAGTATATATGTTATCATCATGAATATTAATATTAATAATACTATTTCTCGTACTCCAAAGTAATGATAATTGTAGTATCATTAATAATTTGGAGTAGTATCATTACTAATCATCAATATTAAATTAAATTGATGATATTCCATAATACTAAGGCCATGCCTGGACTGCATATAATAGGGGAGGAAAAGTCGAGGGAGTAAAAGAATCTAATGTTTTGAATTTACTGGATTAGGATACAATTATAATGGGGTAATATTCTCTCATATTTTCAATTCTCGATGATCCAGGCATTACCCATGAAATAATGCCAAACTTGCTCTTCTCAACTAGCAACTTTGGTCTTTACCCATGAAATAATGCAAAACTTGAAGAAAGGAAAATATTGTACCTTTAATTGAACCTCTAGGAAAATTTACACCACTAAAATTTCCTACTTAATTATTAAAGAATCCAGGCATGGTCTAATAATGACAGTGGTGTAGCGGTAGTAATAGTTTTTAAACCTTCCTTAGATCTCGTAATGTTTTAGGCTTTTATACATTATATTTGGGAAATTAGTCCTGCACTCTTACATTCAATAATATATAAACTAGTCCTTAGGAGATTATTTTACACAATTACAACTAAAAACCAACAACTAATTTTACCAAACATCTTTGTAAACAACTAATAAACAAATGTCAATATAAACAACTAGTCAAACCAACCAAGTGAAACAACCAACAACCAACAGTTGATTGTCAAATAAGGCCTATAAGCTTTAAACTTCATTTATTAAGAGTAAGTCTCTAATCAAAAGTTTGTATGGCCTCATTTGGCAATCAGCTGTTGGTTATTGGCTGATTCACTTGGCTTGTTTAACCATTGCAATTTGAGTTAGCTATTACAAAAATGTTTGGTAAAATCAGTTGTTAGTTATCAATTGTTTATGTGCAAAGTAATTAAATTTCCAAATAGTTTTACTTCATTTTGGAGCAATTTACTAAACATACTTTTGGCTTACACTTTTGGCTATTTGACCTTGTGAAAAAGTCAAAAGTAAGCCGAAAGTCAACCAAAATCCTATTTACAGAACAAGACGTTAATTTAATGGTGTTGAGGATACCTTGATTTACAATATTATATTAACTCATCAGTAGCATGTGAAAACATATATGCTAGTCAGGGATCAATATGCCATTTGAAAATGCATCAGATTGTAAAGCTCCATCAGATTGAAAATACATTTGAGGGTTTATAGCTCCATCAAAATAAAACCTTCAACAAAAGAGCATGAGGATCTGAATATTACTATAAGACACTAAGGTCCCTTTCAAGGCACCTACCAACTATCGAGAAACCAAAAGATACCATGCCATGATTGGGCAAGCTGCAAGAAACAGAAGAGCCTGTTGTCTGATGTTTCTAACACTCTGATATAGCTCAGTCTAAAGCAGTGTTGATCCTTTGAGGCTCTTTCTTTACAATGCTCGAGGGAACTCTTCCCCGAGTGTTAAATTGGCAGTAAGGCAATCTTGGCTCCTCAATCAACAGATCCAAATCCAAGATCAATACAATCAACTGGCAGCTATCCTATGACTTATTCACGACAACTTGAAGACAGAGGTAAGGGCATAAGACTCACAAAAGTCAAAACTGAATTTCTGGCTATGTAATTGTCATACTTTAACCCAAAAATGGGAGTTGAAACTAGGATACTAGGAGTGTTGCTTGCTTAAAGATGTCAATTGTAAACAAGCTCTTATACATTCCAAAGTCTTCAAAGTTCCATAACAATCGTCAAAAAAAAAAAAAAGTTCCATAACAAATCATTTCTTAAAGGTTGAAAGACTTTGGGATGGTTACTCTATGTATTCTGTCTTGGACAATACGTGATAAAATTGACTCAAGAATAAGTAAAAAAAAATCCCTAGTTTCTACAAACACAAGTAAGAAATTATTTCTATCTTCCTTAAACCTGGAGAACTTCAGAGGTGTAATCATGGTTGTAAAACTTCATCTCATCGTGAGATACATGAAAATTATCATATGAATCAGAATTCAGAATACATCTTCCGGTCAGCATCAGAACTACATGAATAGACAATAGTCTTCAACTAACTGAGGTAACAATCTTTCACTGATAACATGTAAGAGCCTAAAACAATCTGGTGACCTAAGTGCCCTTTATTTAAAACATTCCTATATCACATCAATGACTATTTGATCATTTCTTTTAATATTTTAATTGGTTAAAGTGGCCTTGCCCCAAAAATCCCCAAATCACATATCTTGGTAAAAATCTAGTCCAGTCTAGCAAGAATAGTGACACCACAACACTTGTAAACACTAGAAAAATGTACCACCCTTAGAGTTAACCTGCAAAGTATGTGAAATGGGCAACAATGTGCCACAGTTACGGCAAGGAACAATCGGTCCAAATTACAGAAAAATTAACCTGTATGATTCCTCAGCTTGCTATATGTTTGCGTCAATCAACATGATTAAAACAAAAAAATAGAAGCTAAAGTGTCAGATGAAGAATATGCTGCATACCTTCTCAAAGGATTTCCATCAAGTCTGAGGACTTGTAAGCTAGGTTCAAGCAGACCCTGCTCAAAAATTAAATGATAGAAGATTATATTAGAAATTTAAGTAGGGTAATGCCTTTTATATTGTCAGACGTATAGGTTTTTTTTCCGGGTAAGGAGAAATAATCATTAGTAAGGATTAAGACAAAAAACAAAGATCATAAACCAACTTGAGTCCACTAAAGGCTTATTAAAAATAAATCTTATTGCTCAAAAGCACTCCTCTATCCCACCCAGGACTCCGTAATAATATACTTTTCTATGCATTTATCCCCCCAAAAATTATTGGTTAACTAATCCCACTTTGTCCATTCAAAATTTAACACTTCACCATCAAAGATTGCAGTTGGACAAAAAAGGAGGTAAAAAAAGTTGGACAGCAGTATATTTATAAACTGTGCATGTATTTTCTTAAGATTCAAGACCCCTTCCTAGGATACTATGATTCAAGCAGTCCATCTTTACATCGATTATCAATATGCTTGGCATTTTTGGACATATTATTTCAAAGAAGAACAGGAGAGCCATAAACTATTTAACTTAATTGTGATAGATTTAGAATCCACAATCAGTGGTGATGTACAATACAGGGAACATGACAAACAGTGTAATCCAATACTCGTACAAGGAATTTTGAAGCACCACAAATTCTAAAATTAGTCCTGTGCTTAAAATTAACCATATGATGTATAGAATTAACACCGTTTATAGAAAAATCCTCCTTAGTCATTTTTATCTCTAATCTCTATGATTCCATCCTCTTATCTTTTTCTTCCTCCCAGGCTTGTGACAGCTTAAAAATGGTCACCATAGATATACCAGCACTTGTAAAAATATTCTCGCTACTTTTGATTCTCAAACAAGTGTACAACATCGTAGATCCAACTCCTTTCCCCATCAAGTTTTTTTCTCTCTAAACCATTCATCCAATTAACCAAAGATGCTTGGCCTACAAGAAGTTTTAACTTGTCTTCTTTTCATAACAAGCTCTTTTAAGCTCTGTAAATAGCAAGAAAAATCCTTTTTGAATCCCCAACCAATATTGAGGTGTAGCCTTTGACTTTGTCTTACATGAAATTCCCTTTCTTTTTATTTGGGGCTTTCTTTTCAGACATCCTTCAGTCCCCACAATATTATCAAAATCGATCATTATAACCACCTTAAAATGCCGCTTTAAACAAAGCAGCAAAATGAAACAGTATAATATCTGCAAATTTTCAAAATTATGCCCTTGCTGTGCAGTTCAACCCACACAATTATTCCAGCCAGAAATCATTAAACCACCATTACCCCTAGAAGTCCAGCAATTGACGACCCATAACTTCTCATTAGATATCGTTACAAAATAATGGAAATTATAGAGCTTCAAAGTTCAAACCTAAATTAAAGGGAGAGTTTTGTATGAATGTGGGCAAGTCAAAGATGTCACCAAGAGATTAGGCTGATTAAAATGAGAGAAGGAAGAATGAGAGAAAGAAGGGAGCCGATGGAAGACCAAAAGTTTGATGGTTACAAAGGAGAGAGATTTTGAGAAGAAAATGGGTTGGATTCGAGATAGTAAGAAATGCAGGAGGCAAGAGACAAGATCATAAAATAAAGAAGAGACATGCAAACAGGTCGTTCTTTTTGTTTGTTACAACATTGTATAGATATGTGAAATTTTCTTACATGATGTCACGTGTCCCCTCCTCCCCTTGTATATCCATTCATTTTTTCTATTTTCCAACAACTGCCATGCAAATTTTTTTTTTCCTTTCCTTGTACTTCTATTACAGTACTTTTTAAACTGTCGTGCCTTTCAGTTCCTACTTTATTAGGTTTGAACTCTCTAATTTAGACAAGATCAAACTTATCATCTTCCATTATTTTACAAATGAAAAATTTTTGTTTCGCAATGTCATATTTTATATTTTCTGTTATCTAAAAAAAAATGCATTAATCCTTTCATTAAGGGTGGCATTGCCCTTGTTTTAACTTTCATTGAACGCTTAATTCCACTATCCCCCCTTCTTTCAAATCGTTGTTATCTATATGTGTATATAAGATATGCTTCAAAACCTCTTTTTCAATGAAAAAAAAAAATATACGAGTAATTCCTAAACTTATATGAGAAGAAAGCAGTTAATAAGTGTTTTTGCAAATTTTAATAAAAATATATTGTATACTTAAATAATACTTCCTCCATTCCACAAATATTGCAACAATTACCATTTTAGGAATTTCACAAATATTGCAACATTTCCCTATTTGCACATGTTTTCTCTCTTTCTCTCTCCTCATCACATGGGTCAATATCTTTATTCCTCTCTATATCTCTCCTCTTCTTATAATCCGTATCCCCTCCCCATGTTGCGATATTAGGGGAATAGAGGAAGTAAACAAATGAGAGTGAGAGAGAGAGAGAGAGAGTTAAGAAAAGATCCATACTTCCCCCATCCCAAATTAGTAGGCACGTTTCTCTTATCAATGTTGCCAATATATAACTTCAATTGTATATATTTCTAACTATTAATAAGTAAAAATAAAATAAAAACAAATAGCTGATATTTTGAAAATGCACATTAAAAGGAATCTAACAAGATCCCCGCATGACTGAATATTTTCTAATCTATAAATCACAAAAGTTAGTCAAAGTAGATTTTGTGAATAGTATCAAAAGTTAAAAAGTTTCAACTAATCTGGAACGGAGGAAATACACATTTTTTTTACGCCATCAATACTAAGGTTATATTGAACAGAAGCTAATAAACTTGGTTTTGATAATTTTGCAAAAGCTTTAGGTTACCTTGGGTACTTTATCTTTTACTATCTGTCTATATAATTTCTTTATAGATCATAAATCTATCTAAAAAAAATCATGTGACATAAGAAACTATTTCAGTTTTTATGTACACATGGTACTTTTGAGCTTGGGTGAGCATGAAACGAAAACAGTGAGTTGTTTTGCTGTATTAGTCACTCTAAATCCTTGATCTCCACTCAGAAATAGAGAAATGAGTAATAAGAATGATTTCCTACCTGCAAAATCTATATACACCTGAATCTAGAAACATAGGGCTTTTTGACTTACAAGCTCTGGCGGCAGTGATGTTATGTTATTGTCCGAAAGGTCTAGCTCCGTCAATGATGAAAAATTTTGAAATCCCTGCAGAGTAAGAAATAGTTTATTTAATCACAAGGTAACCATAATGCATCACAATGGATTTTCCAAGATAATACCAAAAAGAAATAGACACAAAAAACAAGCATACTATAAGTAAGTTAAAGTATAATTAATGTAACTTTTCAAAAATTAAAGCTCAAGCACTCATGTTCTTCATCAAGATCCTTTTATAATCTAATCAGGTATATTGCTTCATTGCGGCAACTGAAAGACAGAAATCATGCATTGGGAATTCAATTAGTAGAAAATTTATATTTAGGCAAATTCACCAAATAAATAGAGGAAAAATGATGGAAATTTTTTGACCATATATAGGAAGATTTCAAATGAGAAAAACTTTTTAAACTTTCCTAATTGGGAACCAGTAAGAACAGATAGTATCGAAGGGAGTACTTTTTCTCTCAAAACTATTATCACCCTCCCCTCTTGACAATTTATTCTCTCATCCCATATTATCCCTTTCTCTAATCCATAGGCGTCTCTCTCTCCTCACATTTTGTTTTACTTCTGATTGTCTTTGTCAGCATCATCTCTCAAGTAGAAAATATGGAATTGTTCAAGAAAAAAATGGAATTGGAACATGTGTTTTTACAGTGCAATCTTTGGGAAGAAGAAATAGGAGTTTATGGTAATTAGACATTGAGAGTTCAAATAAGCAACTACAATCTTGACCTAGCAAACCAGTCATGTTAGGAGAGGTTCATGTTCAGCCGTAATATGCTTATTAAACAGGCTACTTGAACCTAACCTCTTGACCTACTTACTTTCTATTGATACTTCTTAGGAATTAAATTTATTTCTGAGATATGAAACTAATAAACATGTAAAATATAGAAAGCACATTATTAGAGGCCTTATTTTCAACATAATAACCCATCTGGAAAATGTGATATACATAAAGTCATTTCAGATTCACCCTATTTCATTGGATATTAACATTTAACTATATAAGTGGGTTGAACAAGTAAAAGCAGGTTATCATCTTCATAGAATGTCAACCTACTTTTAAAAATTAAATAAAAACTTTACATGCTCACCCATTTTATTAAATTGGAGTAAAATCTTAAACCCAACCTGTTATTAATGTTTTAGGTTTGCATCTAGTTGTCATGTCAAGTCAGCTTTTGCTATCTCTAATCTTGATTCCATTTATTTTTTTATTTATTGCTTGTTTTATATTCAAGAACTTAGTTTGAATTCTTGGCTGGTGTATTAGTTTAGCAAGACAGGAGAACAGTACATACTTTTTGTTATGTTGAATATATTTTTGGAAATATGAGAGAATTATTGAGTAAAATATAAGTAGTTGTTTTTAGGAATATTAAGCCATTTACTGTTTTTAATTTTTGAGCACCATAACGTGGTTTAGTTTCTTTGACAAAAATTAATTCACCTTAATTTAATAAAACAAATACAAAGTAATACCAGTAGAAAGCATTTAGTTTAGTCAAGTATAATACAAAGTAACAAAAATATTAAAATGAATGATCACATTTTTATTTTTTATTTTTGATATATGGAAGCTAACACAACACCAAGTTGTACAGATACTGCAGACCATATTTTTTTATCAATATGTTAAGTCAAGAACTCAGCCTAAGATACTAGCTCACAAATGTTATCTATACATGGTATTATGTAAATATCTTTATTACACAGCTTCGAGAACTGGGAAAACACATAAAACAAAAGTTTCCCCAGCAGATAATAATCCACCTCAAAAGGGACATGTAATCACTTATAATCAACTTCATTACCTCTGGAATGGAACAGAGGGAATTTTGACTTAGGTCAAGAATCTGCAACTTCTGTAATTTCAAAATATCGGATGGGACTTCATGCAACTGTACTCGTCTATTCAGCAAGTAATTCCATAACAGAACATATAAATCAGGTTAGATGTGAAATATAATAGAGCTTGAAAAGACATTGAAGCAGATGGAGGGTATGTAGGTCATCATGAAATATTGAACCTGAGGTAAAGCTCCTCTAGATGAGGTAAGCTAGCAAATGCTGAACTGCCAGGTAAGGAAGCTACACAACCACTTAGGTCCAAAATTTGGAGTCCGGGGACAGCTTCAAAACTGTTCATTGGAATCTAATGAAAGTGGGCAGGCAGAGTATTAGATGAAGGAATCACGGAAGTAAACAAATTTATAGATAATAAGAGAACAAAAATTGGCATGCAAAGTAAAGCAAGGAAAGAATCCAAAATGATATGAACCATAGTTTTTACCTGTCTAAGAGGATTATTATCAAGCCTTAAGCATGTAAGATTTGGAAGTAACTTCAAAACTTCCCCTGGCCAATCCTTAATCTTGTTCTTGGATAAAAGCAATACCTGCATACAAGGGTCAGTTACAACTTATATAATCAGTTCATAATGTAGAAAAAAGCCTATTTTTTGGATTAGTAATCACAGAATGTATAAGATAAGGCGCATACATCTACATTATCAACCATTTACAATAGGAGGGCCAGGGGGAAAACAACAATCCTTCCACGGCCCCACCTCAAAAGGGCACTAAGCATACAGGCAGTGATTGACAAATTAAACCACATGTTATTTAGAGTAAATACGGGCATTGAAAAATGAGTGGGGTGCTCACTGTGCTGCAAAAACATGCATGGTTGTCCAAAGAAGTTTTATCATGCATTTTTTATTGTTTAAACATTGGACAGGTTTCAGATAGGGAAAGGTCAAGACATGTGTTCTGGAGGATCTATAAAGCCCTTCCAACTTCTTATCAGATCAAATAAAAATATATGGTATAGTACTACTCGTATCACATATCATCAAGTCGAGTTGAAGATTAAAGTGAGGCCTAGGTGAAGAATCTGAACGTCATTAGTTTTATAGGACTCCTTGTCTCTATCTATTCTACTCTTTCACCAAAGTTATTAACGAAAATTTCCTGTATCTACATAAAGCTTCCTTTGCATAATTGCTTCATTTGTATAGCTACAGCTCAACAATATGATCATGTTATACAATTCCCTTAGATTAAAAAGATGGTTTCCTAATTGAAGTGTGCATAGAAAGATTCAAAGATATGCATAGTAGTTCAGAGAATTAACTATAATGTCAAGTTTTCAATTCTTTAATTAACTTTCTGATTTGTTTTCTCTTTGGTGGAGAAGATGATTCCCAGCATATGCTAAACCCTCAAATTACACATATAACTAACCTCAAGTGAAGAGCAGGCCGACAGTGCAACAGGAAGCTCTTCAATTGAGTTTCTTGAAAGATCAACTTTTGTTATTTCATTTGACGAACAGACCTCCAAAGGAACTGAAGTCAAATCCATACCTCCAAGTGAAATTTCCTGGCAGTGGAATAGATGATGACAAAAATAACTCAAAACATTGAGGAAATTAGATGTTACATAATTTATATGCAAAAAGAAAAAATAAAACAAGTTAAACTGAAGTAACCAGATAGTTGATAGTCATAAAATACATCCCCTCACGCAGAACCAGTCACTTCTAAGTTTGAAGTCTCCCCAACCACCCCCACCGCGCCTTACTTGCATTCCAAAAAAAAATATTGAGTTTTAAATATATGGAAGCTAATACTGTTTTTTTTTTTTTTTTTTTTTTTTTTTTTTAATATAATTAAAAATAATAACTCGTTAAATCTCAGAAAGCTTAATACAAAAGAGGACAAGAAGAACAGACAAAAAACTCGAAGAAATTCACAGATTAGCCTAATTCCTCTGCATCTTCCCTAAAGAATAATTTGTGAAAGTCCTAGCCACCTTATCCTATAAAGAAGCTAACGTCACTTAATCACTCAGAAAATTACCCAGGATGGTATCCTTCAGCATTAAATCAATTCTTTCTAGCCAAACACACCACAAGATTCTCATCACTAAAAGTTTGCCAAAACAACTTCTTCAGTCCTCCTTCGCCCTTCCAGAACTCACAAATAGATCCTCTATCCAATCCCCAATGTTTAAAAAGCACACCCATGCCTCCTCTTTATACACTGCAAAGAATTTTCTCATAAGCCAGCTCCCAAATCACTGTGAGAAAAATCACATGAATGAGACTCGCTGTTAACTCGACAGAGCACCAACTTTGGTCAAGCTAACACTCCTTCCATCCGAAAGTGTTTGTCCTTTTTTCTATATTGGTGTGGCCCATTTTATTGCCCTTACTAATAAAGGTTTACCCCAAACTATTGGTCAAACCCCACAGTAATGATGGGGAAAAAGACAGCATGGACAAACACTTTCAGAGGGAGCATATATAAATATAACTGCTACAAGGAATCCACAGGTTTGAACGTCAAGATCTACATCAATGCGGAAAGTTCCTCTCCCCTTTGAAGATGGACCAAACGTCCTTGTATTGTCATATTGGAAAGCTTGGACAAGTGAAAGATTGCACGAAGATCAATGGGCGAGACAGGCTACACAGGTGAAGATTTAACCAACACTGGAAGCACAATCTTCTTGAAACAGAAGCTCAATTTTGATAGAAAAATAAGTTTCAACATCAATGGGTGGCAAATATTTTTCAACAAGTTGCCTTTAGAGAGTGAAGGGCTTTAGGGTGTGTGATATCAGAGCTAGGGAAGAAGAAAATTCTTTTGGCGATAAAAGCTTATCTGTGGGTAGGTCAATTCACAGTTTAAACACTTGGGCAAGTCAATAATATGCATGACGGTGAATTAGAAATCATTGTACTCTAATAGTTCATCCGCAAAGCATTCACAGTTTCTGCTCTTTCAAGAGCCTGACAGAGCTCAATATTTCCCTTGTCAGACAGCAGGAATTAGGGAATTAGGCACAGTATTACCAATTTTGCAAATTCCCCAATGAGCTACAATCTGAAGTGAATGATAAGCAGGTGCAAATCGGTTTAGTGGAACATTTTCGGAATAAAATAGCAGCACAAGGTAGGTACCCACTTTACATTTTGCAAGCTAGGTAATATTGGACTTTGGTTTATTTCAAAATCCCTTCCCAGGAAGAGCTACTCAATGAAAGTGATTTCAAAATATATTTGTAAGCCTCTTTCCAGAGCTTTTTTTGCCCTTGAATATCTCTCAGTAGGACTTCAACACGACAACACTCTGCAGGTTCAAAGGTTTGGACAAAGACATGCGTTTGCTCTTGTATTTGCGTGAACTACTGCTTTTGTCCTGATCAAGACCTATTCACATTTAATGGATAATCTAAAATCATTACTCTCGCTTTCTTCTCGATCAAAGACACCTCACACATCTTTTAATTCATCAGGCCAACAATCTAGTAGTTTGTCCCAAAGATAGAGTAAAACTGTGGAAGTTTATCAATAACAAACCCCTCTTGTTTCAGAGACCTCTCTCTCCATTACTAACAATTCAAGGGGGAGTTAAGAGCCTAAAAGCTATTTACCAAATACAAACTCTTTTTTCCCGATTAGGAGTAAAAAGACACTACGAGTATCACTTATGTACAAAAGGAGTGAAAGAGCAATAAAGCTGAAGTCCTTGAGATATCATGAAGTAATTTTTCTACAAAATCAAGACGTGTCAAGCATTGGTCAGAAGCTGAAGACCAATAACTTGACACCAGCTAAACAAAAGCCTAGGAAAAAGGAACTTGTACCCTTGGCAAATGACAAGGGGAAATTAATCCAAGTTCTACCCTCAAAAATTTGATGAAATTCTCTCTTCCAAGTGAGCTATCATATTGCCAATAAACCTTATTTTAAGTTTTAACTGGGAAAATAATCTGCTTATTGTAATAAAGTAATGCTGAGTGACCATAATCTCAAACAACTGCCCCTTAGAAAGAAATTGGTGAAATAAAAAGAAAAGAAAAAATATCCAGATATAATCTAATCCAAAAGAATAAAATTCGGTGTGGTACTGAAGATCAAATGAATACAATACTTTGTAATTGTCAAATGAAACCCAAGAACTAATTTTGAAGACAAGAAGAATAAAATGATAGGTATGTGGACTAAAGTAGGAGGTTGAACAAGATAGATGATTTGAAATTTCAAACATTAAGAGGTCTAACACTAAGAACGTCAAAGAAATGCAAACAAGGGCGTAGAAATCTCAAGAAGGTTGATAAAATCTCAAGAAGGTTGTTAAGCTTCTTTAATTTACTATTTTCTAAATTAGGTTCCAATTTGGCATCCTCCACGCCTTTTATCTCCCATGCAGAATCTAGTACTGCAACCTTACCATCTAACTAGCATCAATGGAAATATTATTAATAGCTCAAGTACACTAAACACTTAATCTAGTTCAACATGCACTTCAAGACTCAGCCTTCTCCTATGCAATTTTTGCTATGATCTTGCTAATGAGTTACTTCAAGGTATTAGATGATAAGTAAGGTTCTACCATCTAATTAATAAATGGAATCTCTTTTGGTAAGAATACATTCCCATTACATGAAAGACTTTTTCTTCTTTTTCTCTCTGATACACACTTTTCACCTTTGAATTTCCCAACAAAATGAACATCCATTTGAATTTCAAATTTCCAATACACATTACAAAGAAGGGTCAATCTAATAATTTTTTCAAAAGAGGATCTCTTAAAGAGCATAGGACATAAGCGGGCCAATTCACAATATATAATTTACAAAAAGAAATTAATAAGACAAAAGTGGAGTTTGATGTTTAAAAAAAAAGACCTAAAGATAGTGAAAGCTTGACTACAATTTATAGTAAGATTCTCAGAAAAGCATATTGTTCGTGCTGATCCTCCCAAAAGCCACCGTCCACACAAAGCTCTCACTTGAAGAGAGGCCTTAGCTTTCCACACGAATTTTCCAATGAAAAGAAGAATATTTAGGGGTAAGATTCAAACAGATAAGTGCTTATTTGTTTAACATTTAAAAAAAAAAAAAAAAAAAGGAAGTAAAAGACCTAGAAAGTGGGGAGAAGATGGAGTTGTTTGGTTGAAAATGTCGAGGGAAGTTTCACTTCCAAGGAAATTCTACTTCGTGCTATATAAAGTTACTAAGCTCCCTAAGTATGGGGAGCTTATTAAGGGAAGTAAACCTTCCTATAATCAATCAAACAACATTTACCGATTCCTAGGAAATGAAACTACGTTGAAGAAGCATCTTGAAAGGCAATATTACTTCCCATATTCAAAGAGCTCAATAAGAAAGAATTTACAAGATATCACATGGACGATTCAAACCATGAATTTCAAAGCTCAAAACAGTAATATGTAAAATGAACCAGATACCTTAGAGGTCAAAGACAATCGAGCTGCCATAGCCACCATGTTATCTTTAGTTGGAGTTGATACTTCAGCCTCTGCATCAGGTACCTCATCAATTCAAAAATGTGATACTTCTTCCATGTTGGAAAATATTGCTACAGAAAAACTAAGGATTTTCAAACAGAAGAAACGAGGAGAGATTGTACCTTGTGCAGAAGGGAGTCTACTCCTAAGATACTTCAATAAAGCAGTTGTAGGTCCAGATACCAATGTACTGTCAAAAGAAAACATTGTTTTGTTCATATATTCTTTTTTGAGCACACTTAGTCAGGGACCTCAGGATGAATGCTAGATAACATTAATAAGTAAATAGAAAGTCTCTAACATCAAACCTTCGAATGGTTCGCATAGGATTGCCGATAAGCACAAGCTTTCTCAAAGTTGTCATCAAGCCTAGACAACATCAATGGAGCATTTATTAGATATATGGCACATCTACATATGCAATGACAAATATACTGAAGGCTTTTATACAATTAACAAGAGATGTCATCCAGATTTCACTGAGCCCAAGAGAGAGTTGTAAGCAGAGGGAAACCAACATTCTATATATTACATCCTTTAAGGATTATAAGGGTACACAGTTTAACTAGCTTGAAATACAGTTAAAAATAAATAAATAAAGATTAAATAATTTTTTAAAAAATAAAGAAAAAAAAAACCCACAATTAAGAATCTAAAGTTCAGAGTAACCAACGAAAGGAATACAAAAATTGATTTGCATCATTTCATCTTCTGGAACACTTGATATGCAATAACAGATCAATTAACATGGATAATGTCACACTGAAATTTGGTAGAGACATTTTGACATTTTTTTTTATTCAAAAGGAAAATCATTTATTTTTTAATACAAAAAGATAATGAGACAGAGTACAATAGTAGAGGAAGGAGGCATACATGCAGGAAATCTGCATTTTAATTTATTACTTCATTAGATATTAAATCTGAAGATACCCTTACTACAGAAGCAATGTTCCACCATCCAACAAAGCCTCCCGAATAGTATTCCTATCACAAAAAATTGTACTGTTCCTTTTCAACTACAAGACCCAAAAATAGCCAAGCATGTTGACCAAGAAAAGCCACATGACGAAAGATGAGCAGCCTCACTGAATCCCCACAATCCCAAAAATCCAAGTGAGCCACATGTTTAAGATGTGCAGCAAAAGGTTGTATCTAATCTCCCTATCCATAGAGACAAGATATGACAGAACAGAAATAAGTTACTTTGGCTTGCAGTTTATCATTAGTGTTAACTTCTCAACAATAACTTCTCCATAAAGGCCTTTACGTTTGTTGAAATCTTAGTTTTCCAAATATAAAGATGCATGAGGAGGTTTTTAGGTGATTATGAGAATATGAGTTTATGACTACAAAACGGAAGCACAGAGACACATACATATACTGGACAGATAAACAAAAAAGGCCAAGATTCAAGATTTCAAGATAGTGGTGAGGAAAAGAAACATAAAAAAAATATGATAAAGATTCAGGAAAAAATATGATAAAGATTAGGAAAACAAATGAATAAGCACTACCAGAACATTAAAGACAATGAAAGTTCACGGAACTAAAAGCAACTTAGTTTGATATCTAAAAGGACTAAAACAACACTAAATGAAGTACATCAATCTTTGTGAACACACTCAGTGATTTACCCAATGACTTATCACATGAACATTCCACCAAATTTAAAATATAGAATCTTTCAAAGTATATAATGCATAAGTGATATCTACCAACATCCTGCATCTAGATCTTATCAACCTCGTCTTCTTAGGAATTCATTGATGAAAAACAACTGTTGAGGTTGTAACAATCAAATTTTGGGCATGACATAGATTTAACAAGTTCCCATTATGTGAGTGAAGAAAATAATGATGTACTCCGATTTTATTGACAATCAGACCAAAGTTAAACCTATGAGATGCTAGACTGACCTAAATCTTAAACTTCGAACCTCCTCCAAAAAATGCAGGATAGTAGAGGGAGAAGAATAATATCATACAAAAACTATGCACACTCCTACCATTGAGCATACTGATCCGAAGTGCTGTTTTCTTATCATTATTTTATCATGCTTCAAAAGCGTCCCTTAAAAGCCCTTTATCCTGCGCACAAAATTATTTGCACATTCTTTTCCAGTCTTGAACTCAAGTAGAAGTATTGATCCGATAATGCTGAAACATTTCCTTTTTATTTTTTAATCAGAAAGATTTGTTTAGAAAGTGTAAAAGGTAGTGCAGCCAGAGAGAACAAGGTGTCCTCACAAAGTTCCACTTACGTAGTATCCCAAATCCTTTATATCCCTCCTATTGAATAATTTAAGTAAGCCCCAGTTGCCTTAGGCTTTACCCCATAATTACTCAAGCAAAAAGACATTTTCTAGAGCTGGCAATCCCTAACCTGACTAGATAGCCCAGCCTGAAGTTGCTGAGCAAAAGTTGAACCCAACCTAAATTGAACCCAGACAGCTCAAATTCAACCCAATTTGACCATACTTAGTAATTATATTAAATTTTACACTTCTAATATTTACTAGCTCAACCCGAAACCAACTTCAACCCAACCTAGTGACCGAATTGCCACCCCTAACTTTATCCCACAATAAGTCACATTGATCAGTAAAGCCATGACGCCATTAATAATACGCCCAGTTCTCCAGGCAAATGCACCACAAGAGTGCCATCATTGCATTTCTCCATCGCAAATTCTTCTTACTCTTCCTTTTGAATCCCACAAAATGAATAAGTATCCCCTTCGAAACTTCGTTTGTTTATGCAAAAGTTTTTTCCTTATCCAAAACATGCATATGGTTTATACGGCAGCTTTTAATTACAGTATATGGTGTTTCTCAGCTTGTTCCTAGTACTGAAGCAGCTGACAGATATATTAACAATTTATCACATTATACCCAGTGGGCCAGTGACCATTTAAATATCAAGCTTTCAAGAGATCAAAGAAATAACACAATACACTGCTATGCAGAAATGAAGCTGAGAAGCCGCACCAATTTCCGCCGGCAAGCCTGACAATGAATTGTTTGAAAGATCAAGAACTGACAAATGCAATTTGCATGCTTCCACTGGATATTCGGTTAACTGCAGACATTGTGTACAAATGCAAAAGCTTCAGAAAATATTTAACATACTTCTTAGTTAAAAAGGATTAAATGCACACAAATAAGCGATATAGTAGAGACAGAAGTGAAGCTGGCATCTCTTAGATTCACCTCTTCATGGAAACATGAAAAAATATTCACAAACAAAATCTTGAAAACCGCAACATACCAGATGAAATGGTAGCTGCAAACAATATTAACAACTATACAAGATAAAATGAACAATATATAACCCAGCAAAAGTTAATACACATTATCAAGGCACTAGATAACAAATTTATAATAAACTCTCAAAACCACGCAAGAACCTGAAACCATAAATTTACAGTTCCAAGAACAGGTTACTTCATAGGCTTGCTCTTCGGCTATGCATATTTTTTAAATTAATACCCTCAAGACAAGACAACTCATAGGCAGACAAGCAGTGTCCGATGAAAGTGCTCTGTTTATCACAAAGTTTGTGTCGGCATAAAATTCAAAGGAAAACTCCAAAACAGAATAAACAGACACCAATTCAAATGGTTTCTGAGCCTATCATTGACCACAATATCTTTCTTCCTATATAAGCGATTAAGCAAAGCAAGGAAATTCTTACCCTCCTCAGTTGTCCCACTGTCACTCTGCTTTTGCCATAGCACAATTTTCACCATTAATTTCTTTGATAAAATTATAAAAAAAAAAAAAAAACATTGATTTTTAGAAAATATACATTAAGACAAATCCATAACCATATAATTTAATCACAACATTATTTTTTATGTCAGTAAGAAAAAAGCGGTCAAAATGGGGCATGTGAATAGTGCACATAGTCAAGGTGAATCGACTTAATACTGAGGGAATAATATTTAGAGAGGAAAGATGAGCAAAGAGCTCTCTAGAGGGAAGGGAAATATAACCTAGAAGCCAGTAAATCTGCTTAGCCATTTGCAGAAGTACAAAACAGACCCATGATCATCACACCAAATAAGTTCAAGCAGATGATCAGATAAGATATTTTAGTAAATAGAACGTAGGTCCACCTGGTTTGATTGAAGATCAAGTATGCTCAGCTGAGAAAGCTCTCCTATCTCTCCTGGTAATGACGACAACAAATTGATCCTGGTATATGAAATAGCAATTGTGGATTAGGAGAATGATCCGAAACATTTCACAACTACAGACAAGAAATTGTTTACTAACTTGCCAAACGAACAGAAACATGTACCCAATATAGAATTCCACAAGTGAAGAGCAACCCTTTATAGATGTTGGAATTGATAAAATTTCTGCACCATTAACGGCATAAGTATAAAAGTTATAAATCACTGATTCAAACAGCCTAATGTGAAAAAAAAAGGAGGAAGCTTCATCCAGACAAGTATACAAGCATGCAAATCCAAAGATACTCTAATCAATTTCTATTGGCTTTTCTAGCTGCTGCAGATGTGTCAGAAAACTCACTGTTCTGATGCATGTCTAGGCGAATAAGACGTGAAAGCCTCCCAATGCTTTCCGGTATACCATTCAGGAGGTTTTTTGCTGAGCCAAGGGAATAACATTTTAAATAAAAGTAAAAAGGAAAATTGGATTGGAAAACTATACAATCAAATATCCAACAAAATGCTAATTAGAAAGATAAAAATATTTACAGGCATTCAGTTCAGTGAGCTTGCTCCATGATGAAATCACAGGATCTGATAGTTCTGTGAGCTTGTTACCCTGGTAAAATATTGTGGCACAATTAACATCCAGAAATATGAAAGCCCAAAATAGATTTAACTAGAAATTCCAGTTTGCATTATTGTACCTCCAAATTCACTTTTACTAATTTTGTACAGCATGCTAAATTTTCCGGCAAGCCTGCAATACTGTTATTTGAAGCCTGGATAAATACAAGTGGTGCCACAGTGAAAAAGCAAGAAAGATTATCTCACAAGACACATATTTTAAACAGCAAAAATGTCCATCCATTTCGTGTACACATACTGCATAATCTTAGCAACAACAGCAGAAAAGCAACAGGTTCCCTATATTCTATCAATAGAAAGATAAGATAAAGCACCTGTACAAAAATTCTAAAAAGAGTGGGATATCTGATCGCTAGAATATGTATTCATCAGTTAGAAAACCATGGAAGTTAATAATCAGAACAAATGATGAGATAAAGAAGCACCATAAGAACTTGCTGCACATACAGGTTATTTCAAATGAACCATTACCTTCAGCTCTGCTAACTCGACACACTGTCCAATAGAATTAGGGATTTCCACAAGTTGATTATTTGAACAATCAATCCTGGTACAATAGCAGAACAAAAGAAGAGGTACAAAATGATTAGAAAGACTAATAGTATTTATTTACAAGTAATGCAAGCAAACTGTAGCAAGTACATAAAGTCCATATGTTGCATTCTTTTGGTTTCTTGTTTTTCAGAGAAAAGTGTATATGTTGCTTCTCATAAAGATAAAAGCCAAGCAAATCATACACAGAAATTATTGAGAAAAAGGAGCCTACTTGACCAAAGAAGTCGCTGATCCAATCTCTTCAGGTATGTTAGCTAATGAATTGAATGACACGTCAAGTGATTTTAGCGAGGGAAGCCTGTCAGATTCCCAAAACAAAAATAGAGAGAACAAGAAGAGAGTTAATTCACTAATAGCATAAAATCTTACTGAATCAATCAAACAAAGACAAAGCAATTTACCCCCAATTGCTGCAGGAAGCTGAGTAAGCCTGTTGTGGCTTACATTTAACACAGTCAACAGAGGCAAATTTCTCAGGTCTTCTTTCAATACTTCAATGTTATTATGGGCCAGGATCAGCTTTTGTAGGTCAACAATCTGTATACACAAAAGATGCCCTTCAGGATTCCATCTATCATAACAAGCTGATGACTTAAGAATCACATCTCATACAATTAAATTGAAGACATCAATGAAAGGTAGGGAAAATTGAAACAGGACTACAGCACACCTCCCACCAATTGCCACCTTCACTAGCGCCATCAAAATTTTGATAGACCTCATTGGGTACTTCCCTGAATATCATTCAATAAAAAATACATATAAGTGTACAGCTTAAACATAAATTGAAGATAACCAAGATCTAAGAAGTCTGCAAAGCTTGAAAAAAGAAATCAGCTTTTACATAATGTGTAAAATAGATGTTTAATTAGACTGAATTCTTCCATGGTAAACTTCTTGAGATAAAGCTGGCTATCACTCAATATGGAATACTACATCTCTAGCAATCCAAATCCATGCTTACAAGAAGTCCTTACAGTTGCAATTACCCGCGACAAACCCAACTTCACTACTTCACCAAAAACAACTAATGACAAATACCATATTATCCAAAAGTATGACGAAAAGGTGGTTCATTTATTGTTCAGTAAATTAACTAAAAAGACACAAATCAACCAATAAAGCAATAAAGTACTCTTTTTTAGATGAACAACAAGAACAGGACAGATTATGTAATGCAATTGATTATAAAGTATGTAAAATGTTTCAATATACATGGATGATAAGACTACGAGGGAACCATGTATATTAAAAAGAACCAAATAGTTGTCAATCAAATAAATTTGTTGAAAATGGAAATTTCCCAATAAAAAAATACACTTGCCTCTCTCTTTCTTACAAAAAGGCTTCCAAGCCTTGCCTTCAATTTACCAAATGTGCGGATATTCATAGTGAACTAGAACCAAATCTTTCATGATATATCTAGAAAAGTATTAAGAGTGCATGGTTTATTATATCCCTGATTAAATTACTGTCAATCTCAAAAATAATCTTGTTTCTCCATGTCAGAAGCCCCAAAAAAGCAATTTCAGTTCCTAACCAATTGATTTATCGTACCTTTGTTGCAATAATGAATTAAGAATTATCAAGGATATCAAGGACTGTATAATTAGTCTCATCCATTAAATTCTAACTTCCTTGGCTATCTAATTTTAAGCAAGCCAACGCATATTAATGGATGGGTTTATGCAATTTACTTTTTCAAATTACAGTGCGTGAAAAATGCCAAACCTTCACCCAGGGTGGTTGCTAATATCGATCCACAGATAGCACACTTAATACGAGTATTACCGTGTGTAATAATCCAAGGAAAACTTTCTCTTGCAAATTATTTCCCTTTAAACAACTTCCCCTTTCCTCAATTCCATGCATGAAAACAGGACACTACTTAAGCCAAAAATACATACGAAACCTTCAATTATAAAGTATGAAATCAATCCATAAACGTGAATACGTAATTCAGAGTAAGCAATGTCCATAAAGTATAATTTCACAAGAACTTCCCATCTAACATAAACAGAAGTACATTAACCGGCCTTGTCATTGCTATGCTCTCATCAGTCCAGTATCCAACCTTAATAATACCGAAAACAATGATGAGATCATAACTCCTCAAGGAAATATATCCTTTCTTCTTTTTGGCGGAAAATCATTTCCAATCAATTAGATAAAACCTGAATTGACCTCGTGGCTCATAAAATCGAGAATCAACATGATTTATGAAATTAATTACAGATAAAAAGAGCATCATGGTCAATTATAATCTCATCATTGTTTCCGAAACAATTGAAGTTCGATAGTGGACTGAGGAGAGCGGAGCAATGTCACACAACTCACACTACATTGATATAATTCATAAAACCTCAAATCTTATATACTGCTTAATCATAATTCATTGGAACACTTAACTACAACACCCCAGATAAAAAATCCACACAATTGACCACCACAATTGGTCAAAAGAGCTGCATTTCACAAAATTGACAACACCAACCACCAATAAAATTGAAAAAAAAAAATGAACTTTATAACTTTACAAAGATTTAATCCATAAAATAAAAATGGGGTTTGTAAATTTGATGAAAAAAAAAATAGAGAAATCAGATTACCTCAAAGAGCGATTTGATAAATTGAGAGACCCCGATGTTCGAGCAGCTTTGAGTGCTCGATCCATGGTGTTGTTCTGATTTTTTTTAGAAATGGGTGGATTTTTTTTTTTTCAGATCATTTAATGGAGATAGTATAATACTGTGAATTTTTGGAAGTACGATGTTTGCAGTTTACGCATGTAGGAGAGAGAAAGTGAAAGAAAGCGAAAGTGAGTTGGGTTGCAGGTGACAAGAATCAATCAAGCCAAAAGCTGAATTGTTGAAGAACATCGTGAAATCGTGAGTGCCTTACAGTCTGACAGACATGAGAACTGCTCCATTCGTTTCAAAATAAATTATCGTATTTGACTTTTGCACTATTATACGCTCCTGCTTTATATGCCTTGTTAAATATGGAATACTTCGTAGCATTTAAGTGAACACATTATCTTAATCTGATACATTATTTTATTTTATTTTTATGCAAAAGAGAGGCTAGGCCTCGGGAAACAAAAACAAAACCAAAAAAAAAAAAACTAAGGGGGAGCAAGACGTGGCATAGCCTCACTACATCATCATACAAAATTCTTCCTAAAGCTAAAGGAGGGATTTCAACCAACTCTATAGGGTTGTTCTGGCTAACGCCTTGATTTGCCAACCACTCCGCAACACAGTTTGCTTCACGATAAATATGATGCACCTCAATAGTTCAGTTATTGTCTTCTAGCATCTTCTTGCATCTAGCTATTATATGCACGCTTTCACCATTGTACGACATGGTGTTATTAAGCACCATCACCAAGGCTTGACTAATCAATTGCACTTGAAGCCTTTGAATTTTCATCCTTGCTACTAACTCAAGGCCATACTCTAAAGCACGAGCCTCTGCCATGAAGGCCTTGCAAGCTCCAAGCTTTAAGGAAAAGGCGTACACCAGTATACCCATATTATCTCATATTGTGCCCCCCCCCCTCCAGCAGGCCCCAGAACTCCTTTGGTTGCTCCATCCACCCATGAGGGGGAGCACACCATCGAATAAATGCCTCGGTCCTACCCCTTTGCACTGACCCTGCCTCCAAAACATCATTTCTCATGACTCGCCAAGTTTCTTCAAAATGATCAAGCAGAAATTGCCTTACAAATGGGATTTTCATTCTCCTTTCCAAAGGCCACATTATTTCTCCATCTCCAAATCCACCACAGCACCATAGCAAAATAAGTAGGTCTAATTTCGGGAGATATCTCATTATTTACTTGAATGTTGATGTTTCAACTATCCATTGTTGCAATGAGCCAGTTCTGAAATTACTTGCATGTGTTGGGCCTCCTACCTGCCTCCATATTTCCCTAGCCATCTTGCAATCTCTTAACACATGAAGCGTGGTTTCATCATAAGTAGCACACGATTTGCAATTTGGGTCTTCAGTCAAGTTCCTTTTGAAACAGTTAACATTAGTCATTATTCGATCATGAAGGACCAGCCATAGGAAGACATGTACCCTTTGTTGAACTCTCAAGCTCCAAACTAAATCCCACCCTTCATACGCAGCATCATCATCATCAGCTTGTATGATTTTTAGAGCTGATTTTATTGAGAAGCGCCCTTTCGAGCCATAGCCCCAGTAGAGCAAATCACCAACATTCCTATCTTTTTTTAAAGCATGTGCTTCAATTTCCTGCAGGGTATTACTCAGAAGTAAATCAGCGAACTTATCCCACTGCCAACCAAGATTTTCATCTCACATTTCTTCAACTGCCGCACCCTGAATATCCTGGGGAATTGTAATGGTTGCGAGGTCACGTAAAGTCCGTGAAGTCGCCCATTTATGATCCCAAAACAGTGTAGTCGAGCCATCATTCACAACCACCCGAGCACCTTCATACATCGTTGCAATATTCTCCGTTATACCCCTCCAAACGTTTGACATATTCGCTTTGGATTCGAACATGTCTAAGTCACACCTTCCCTTACAGTACTTGGCTCGAAGGACCCTAGACTAAAGCGCATTTGGTTCAGTCAACACCCTCCAACCCAACTTTGTTAAGAATGTAGCATTTGTTTGGCGCGACGATCTTATTCCTAGACCACTTGATACTTAAGGAGTTGAAGGGTCTCCCAAGAAAGCAAGTGGACTCGATTTTTCTCCTCATTACCACCCCAAATAAATCTTCTCAATTTATTATCAATATCATCACAGATTGTCCTTGGGATTTTTGCCGTTTGCATCGCATAAGAACTCATGGTGGAAATAGTAGACTTTGCAAGCGTTATTCTCCCCGCGAGGGAAATGTATTTTTATTTTCAACCTGCTAGCCTCCTATCTACTTTCTCACATAAATAAGCAAAAGTATCTCTTGTAATTCTACTTGTCAAAGTAGGCATTCCAAGATAAGCTCCCAAATCTTCAGTTTCTTTCATATCCAGAGTATTGCAAATATTCAATTTTTCAACAGGATCAACATTAGGGGAGAAAAAAACATAGGACTTTGTTGTACTTACTTTCTGACCTGAGGCTCCACATAAACAGCAGTAGCTTCCGCAAATAGGATGATGTCGTTGGCAAAGCACAAATTTGACAGCCTAGGACCATTTCTGCTTGCTTTAATAAGCTTCCAATTATTATTAATAATTGATTCCTCGATTGCTTGATTGAGCCTCTCCATACATAACACAAACAAGTATGAAGATAAGGGGTCGCGGGGACGAATGCCCCCTCCCGGTTTAAAACTCTAAGTCGGTTGTCCATTCCATAGCACTTTCATTGAAGAGGTCGTAACGCACTCCATTATAGTGTCAACAAGAAGGCAGGGGAATCGAATCTCCAATAATATGTCTCGAATAAAATCCCATCGAAGCCTATCATACGCCTTCTCGAAGTCAATCTTGATCACCATCATTCCAGTTTTCCCGCTCTTATTTATCATAGTGTGGAGAACCTCTTGAACAATAACAATGTTATATGTAATTTGACGACCCGGCACAAAACTTGTTTGGATAGGAAGTAAGATGAGGCGTCATTGGTTTAATCCGGTTTTTACTGGTAACATTACAAAGGCTAATAGGCCGAAATTGAGAAGCAAGCTCCGGGGTATCTGTTTTTGGGATCAAAACCAAAAAGGTATCATTTAAATTTTCCGATAAACCTTTCCCCGAGAAAACATCAAGCACCACCACATTATCACATACAATGTCCCAATGTTTTTGGAAGAAAAGAGCCTGAAATCCATCTAGTCCAGGTGCTTTTAGAGCACCCATGTTTGTGATTACTTTGTCAACTTCACACTTGGTAAACTGCCTTGACAGAGAGTTCCAGTCTCGTTGGGTGAACTCTGGAAAAATATCAGTAAGGAGAGGAGAAATGTGAGCAGTATCTTGAGGCACTTCCTCCGCAAAGAGAGTTTGAAAATAATTAACAATAATTTCTTGAACTTTATCTTTATCATAGTTCCAATCACTGTCAGAATTTTCTTTAATAACAGTGATATTATTTCTCCATCTTCTAGTAATTGTGCTTCGGTGAAAGAAAGTTGTGTTCTTATCCCCATCACGGATCCATTCAATTCTAGACTTTTGATACCACAGGAGTTCTTCCTATTCTAGAACTTCATCCAATTCTTTCCGAAGCTTAGCCTCCAATTTAATCATATCGCGAGATTTCTGAACACCCTCAATCCTTGCTAGCAGTACACGCTTTTTCCTAAAAATATTATGAAAGACATTCTGGTTCCAGTCTTGAAGGTCAGTGGCAAATGTTTTTAAGTGCGGACCAAGAGGTGCATGTTTATCCCATTTTTGCTCAATAAACTCCCTGAATTATTCATGGGTTAACCTGGCAGCTTGGAACTTAAATGGCTTGCTAATCGATGAGATTGGAGCAAATCCGTTTGGAGAAATAAGCACTGGACAGTGATCAGATTGTATAGACGAAAGATTCTTAGAAGTCGCATTAGCAAATCGTAAATTCACTCTCCATTGTAGAGTGCACGATCCAGCCTAGCACTCGTATAAGTGTGAATTAAATCTAGCAGACCTACGAGAGGTCTCACTACAACTTGAACTCCTTTCCCATGAGAAACAAGTATCGTTAAAGTCTCCTGCTAATAACCAAGGTCTATTGTGAGTAGCAGCAAACTCCTTTAATTCACGCCAAAGATCAACTCTTTTTGTGGGATTCGAACTAGCATATATCGCAGAAAAGTACCAAGGTTCACCCCCTACTCTCCTAATATTCATAGTTATATGCTGGCCATGTTGTAGAATTGGTTCAACGATACTTCTTCCGGCCTCTAATAAACCCAAATTCCACCACTAAACCCTTGCGCATCCACTCTAGTATGCCCCGAGTATCTAAGACAGGTAGCAGTTTTCTCCGCTTGTTGACCACTCATATGAGTTTCAACAAGAGCTATCACATACGGTTTATTGATACGAACAATTTCCTTAAGCTCAGATATAAAGTCGCGATTTCAATTCCTGCCCCTTGTACGTTCCAAACCATACAAGAAATCGGGCTTAAATTATGAGCCAAATTTGGTAGACTATCTTCCATTAAAAAAGGAACAGAGGAAAGACTGCTTATGTATGCATCCGAGAGCAAACGTCTAATTTCATTGGGAATTTTTAGAGTTGTAACCAACTACATTGGTTCCGCGATCGTTTCCACCCAAGACTCGATATCCACTTCCATCACATGAGTCAGGGGATTTGCAATGCCCACGTAGGGTATCTCCATTGGCTGTTCCACGCAGAGTTTTTCTCCGGGGGAATGGTTAAGGTTATCACATTCGATTGGGGTGGGAACATTGAAGGGTTCATCATTGGTTGCATCTAGATGGACTTCTGGTACAGATTTTTCGAGTGCTTCTGAGGTCTTTTGTGTGTCAATTTCTATTGGGATATCCGAATATGTGTTGAATTCTCTTTACCAGTGACAGACTTCTCAAGCACGAAATTTTTGGGAATATTTAGGTTAGTTATTGAGGGTGTTCTTTTTTCCTGTAATTCTTTTGGGAATCTTTTTTATTTTTGCTGGGATATTTTCCTTGATTTATTTTCCAAAAAGAAGGGGTAAATCTTTTGGAATATTCACCAGATTATTTTGTAAGTTATCCCCAAGCGAGATTGTAGCAACATGAGTATCACTTGATTTATTTGGTTCCTTATTTGACTCCATAGTATAAGCAGCCTCCTTGTTTCTAGCATCTCTATGGTCAACTTCTTTTGAATTATTTCCCTCTTCTATCTCAATTAGATCATCCCCTCCTGAATTAAGGCCTGGAATCTTGATCCTTCCCCTGATTTTTTGCTTTGGTTGTTGCCAGTAGTGTTGACTTTGTTTTCCGATTTGAGTCACCTTGTTTTCCGATTCCCTGACCTGGTTTCTCCACCTTCGAAAATTTTTTCCGGTCAGGTTTCTTGACTAACATCCATGACCCATACACATCCAGTTCTTCAGGTTTAGCAGCCGGGACATGTTTCTCTAAAACAACATTTTCTAATTGTGCATTAATATCATAAATCATCCCATCATTAGCAATTTTAGAAGCATAATGTTCATCAGTATGCCCCAACCTTCCACACTTATAACATATCATCTTAATTAATCCCTTCATATTGAATTTGCCATATTTTCCCTTTTAACCAGAA